GCTACGACGAGGCACGATTCATGGCTAACCAGACCAGATTGCACGAATGGATGAGATCACAGTTGGTGCCAGAAAGAGAGCCCACGGCACAGCGTGCACGGAAAGCCTTCCTCAGGCGCGCGGTGCCGTGGAGACCCTGATGTCCGACGGTAAGAAGGGGACTCGTGCGACGGTCGTCGGGGGCGAAGAAGAGCCGCAAGTGAGTGACCCTTCCCTTAGCACGGGAAGTCCCCGATTGCAACCGAAATCCCCCATACCCCCGGAATCCCACATGGCATCGGAATCCCGCATAGCACCCGAATCCCACATGGCACCAGAATCCCACATGGCAACAGAATCCCGCATGGCACCAACATCCCACATGGCACCGAAATCTCACATGACACGGAAATCCCGCATAGCACCCAAAATCCCGCATAGCACCCAAAATCCTGCACAGCAGCAGAATCCCGCATAGCACCGAAATCCCAATTCCAAAACAACGTCATCCCCTAGCACCCCAATCCATGTAACACAGCATCCCCTCCACACAGCACGCACATCTCCAATGCACCAAAATCCTACAATGGGCCGCAGAATCCCGCAGGACCAAAATCCACATAGGCACCAATGCTCACATGCACCGATATCACTGCGCGCGAGGTCCGTCGTCAGCCTTGTCGGAGCGAGCCAGACTAAAAACCGGGGCATATGCACTGGCTATTGTTTACCACTCTGCCTCTCTGAATGCGAAGACCAAGGCGTCTCGGGAAGAACAGGGTGTGACCTCCAGCATCGTTTACAAGATTGTGGAGCTACAGAAAGCCTAACGACGAGGCCGATTCATGCGAACCAGCCAATTGACGCATGGATGAAGATCACGTTTGGTGCCAAAAGATCCCACTGACATCCGTGGCACGGAAGCGCTTCCTCAGGCGACTCGTTCCTGTTTAGACCCGTTTATGGCCGAACGTGAAGGGACGGGTACTCCCGTGCGGACGGGGCTTCGGGGGGGGGCGAAGGATAGCCTCCAGGTGATTGACGCGCCGGGGGGGGGTCCCGTAGCACGGGAATCCCGCAGTCACCGATCCATCCCCCATACCACCTGGAATCCCTTCATCGAATCCGGCCATAGCACCCGAATCCCACATGGCACCAGAATCCCACATGGCAACAGAATCCCGCATGGCACCAACATCCCACATGGCACCGAAATCTCACATGACACGGAAATCCCGCATAGCACCCAAAATCCCGCATAGCACCAAAATCCTGCGCAGCAGCAGAATCCCGCAGAGCACCGAAATCCCAATTCCAAAACATCGTCATCCCCTAGCACCCCCAATCCCAGGTAACACAGCATCCCCGACACACAGCACCCACATCTCACATGGCACCAAAATCCTACATGGCAGCAGAATCCCGCATGGCACCAAAATTCCACATGGCACCAGAATCTCACATGGCACCGATATCACTGCGCGCAGGCCCGCGTCAGCCTTGTCGGAGCTGCCAGACGAAACAGGGCATATCATTGCTATGGTGTACCAGCTCTGCCTCTCTGAGTGCGAAGACAAGGGCGTGCTCGGGAAGAAGGGGGTGACCTCCAGCATCGTGGACAAGATTGTGGAGGGCTACAGAAAGCGCTACGACGAGGCACGATTCATGGCGAACCAGACCAGATTGCACGAATGGATGAGATCACAGTTGGTGCCAGAAAGAGCCCACGGCACATCCGTGGCACGGAGCCTTCCTCAGGCGACGCGGGTGCCGTGGAGACCCGTGATGGCCGACGTGAAGAAGGGGACTCGTGCGACGGGCTTCGCGAAGAAGAGGCCGCCAGGGAGTGACGCCGTCACGTAGCACGGGAATCCCGCATGGCACCGAAATCCCCCATACCACCGGAATCCCACATGGCATCGGAATCCCGCATAGCACCCGAATCCCACATGGCACCAGAATCCCACATGGCAACAGAATCCCGCATGGCACCAACATCCCACATGGCACCGAAATCTCACATGACACGGAAATCCCGCATAGCACCCAAAATCCCGCATAGCACCCAAAATCCTGCACAGCAGCAGAATCCCGCAGAGCACCGAAATCCCAATTCCAAAACATCGTCATCCCCTAGCACCCCCAATCCCAGGTAACACAGCATCCCCGACACACAGCACCCACATCTCACATGGCACCAAAATCCTACATGGCAGCAGAATCCCGCATGGCACCAAAATTCCACATGGCACCAGAATCTCACATGGCACCGATATCACTGCGCGCAGGCCCGCGTCAGCCTTGTCGGAGCTGCCAGACGAAACAGGGCATATCATTGCTATGGTGTACCAGCTCTGCCTCTCTGAGTGCGAAGACAAGGGCGTGCTCGGGAAGAAGGGGGTGACCTCCAGCATCGTGGACAAGATTGTGGAGGGCTACAGAAAGCGCTACGACGAGGCACGATTCATGGCGAACCAGACCAGATTGCACGAATGGATGAGATCACAGTTGGTGCCAGAAAGAGCCCACGGCACATCCGTGGCACGGAGCCTTCCTCAGGCGACGCGGGTGCCGTGGAGACCCGTGATGGCCGACGTGAAGAAGGGGACTCGTGCGACGGGCTTCGCGAAGAAGAGGCCGCAAGGGAGTGACGCCGTCACGTAGCACGGGAATCCCGCATGGCACCGAAATCCCCCATACCACCGGAATCCCACATGGCATCGGAATCCCGCATAGCACCCGAATCCCACATGGCACCAGAATCCCACATGGCAACAGAATCCCGCATGGCACCAACATCCCACATGGCACCGAAATCTCACATGACACGGAAATCCCGCATAGCACCCAAAATCCCGCATAGCACCCAAAATCCTGCACAGCAGCAGAATCCCGCAGAGCACCGAAATCCCAATTCCAAAACATCGTCATCCCCTAGCACCCCCAATCCCAGGTAACACAGCATCCCCGACACACAGCACCCACATCTCACATGGCACCAAAATCCTACATGGCAGCAGAATCCCGCATGGCACCAAAATTCCACATGGCACCAGAATCTCACATGGCACCGATATCACTGCGCGCAGGCCCGCGTCAGCCTTGTCGGAGCTGCCAGACGAAACAGGGCATATCATTGCTATGGTGTACCAGCTCTGCCTCTCTGAGTGCGAAGACAAGGGCGTGCTCGGGAAGAAGGGGGTGACCTCCAGCATCGTGGACAAGATTGTGGAGGGCTACAGAAAGCGCTACGACGAGGCACGATTCATGGCGAACCAGACCAGATTGCACGAATGGATGAGATCACAGTTGGTGCCAGAAAGAGCCCACGGCACATCCGTGGCACGGAGCCTTCCTCAGGCGACGCGGGTGCCGTGGAGACCCGTGATGGCCGACGTGAAGAAGGGGACTCGTGCGACGGGCTTCGCGAAGAAGAGGCCGCCAGGGAGTGACGCCGTCACGTAGCACGGGAATCCCGCATGGCACCGAAATCCCCCATACCACCGGAATCCCACATGGCATCGGAATCCCGCATAGCACCCGAATCCCACATGGCACCAGAATCCCACATGGCAACAGAATCCCGCATGGCACCAACATCCCACATGGCACCGAAATCTCACATGACACGGAAATCCCGCATAGCACCCAAAATCCCGCATAGCACCCAAAATCCTGCACAGCAGCAGAATCCCGCATAGCACCGAAATCCCAATTCCAAAACATCGTCATCCCCTAGCACCCCCAATCCCAGGTAACACAGCATCCCCGACACACAGCACCCACATCTCACATGGCACCAAAATTCCACATGGCACCAGAATCTCACATGGCACCGATATCACTGCGCGCAGGCCCGCGTCTTCGTCAACCACTACCCCAGCCGGTCTGGAGCTGGACGCACTGCTTCCTCATGGCGTCGTGTCACTCCTGGAGCCAGGCGATCTGGAAGACCCGCGTGACCGGGTGCACACCTACATCCAGCCGCTGCCAGCTTTGAACTACCCGCTCTGCTTTCACCCAGGCCCCGAGCTGCTCTGGAGCATCGTGCCGTTGTGCACGCCTGCGGAAGACCTTACGTCTTGGAGGGGCTGCTGCCAGAATCTGCCCAACGAGGCCCGGGCTGGAAGGATATGGCTCAATCTCCATCATCACATCTGCGAACTGCTCGGCCTTAACCGCGTGGGTAACCTGTACAAGAGGCTCGACCAGGTTGTCGAAACTCTGCTGGAGTGGAGTGAGGACCGAGAGTCTCCAGGACTAGGCTTCGTCCATGTACTAGTCTTCGACAAGTACGTGAAGATCGGCCGAAGCAGCTGCCCCCTCCAGAGCCGAAGCGGACAGCGGGAGCCGGTTATGATCCCCAGACTTCGCTCCTACATGCTTACGGCTCGCAACCAGAAGGCCAGCTTGCTGTATGCGCCCTTGGTCCTTGTCGCAACAAGTCCCTGGAAGTCTGACCTGGTGGAGGGTTTCGTGCATCTCCATCTCCACTCCTATTACAGCGACCTGTGCCTGGAAGTCGGCTCGACTGGCGGCACTAACTCCAAAGGCCGAGAAACGTACAAGCTCGAGGGCTTGGAGACCGTCATGAACAGTGTCAGGTTCGCGGCGACCCGAACCATCGACCAGCTCCTGTCAGGCAAGACCAGCTTGAATCAGGTACGCTACATGCAAAGCCGATCTGCACCTCCCGGCCACGTCCTCACGAAGGAAGAGCTCGAAAGCAGTCTTTCCTTGTAAACTGCAGCACCCTTGCTCCGCAGGCAGCCTCACACGTTTCTCTCCGAATGGAGTGCCTTCTTTGTCTAAGAGCATGCTCCATGTCCACGAAGCTCCCGTTGTACAGAGATCCAAGCAGTGGGCACGGTGTCCAAGGGTCTTGTCCCGTCCAGAGAGTCACCTCTGTCCTCCGGCAGCCAGAAACCAGTGTGGTCTCCTGGCTCGTACTGCCATGCGAGTGCGTGCAACTGTCCCCTAGGCCCTCGTCTCCAGTCCTTGTCAGCCCCGCCCTGTCTCAGGAGGATTCTCGTCTTCTTCATCGTCTACGACGCCGAGCCCGACAAGCAGATCCACCTCCGCCAGTGCCTCGACGTGTTTGGTGTTTCTTGAGGTTTCTTGACGAAACACGCAGCATACAAAAATCCATCAACAAATAAACGCAAACTTTGGGAACATCACGGCTTTGACACAGCAAAACCACCGAAACCGCAATGCAAACATTGGAAAAAGCTATAGACACGCAAACAAGCAGTGAAAACACACTCAAACACAAATTTCCGAATCCAGGGTAGTGAACTTTTTGTTCGATCGTGCATGCGAGACTGCCGAAGCCTCGATCTTGTGTTATGCGTACTTGCTCAATGCCAGGTGCCCCTGAAGTTCTTGACCACTATCACCTCCGCCAGTGCCTCGACGTGTTTGCCTTCGTGGCGGTGGCGCAGGGTTAACAAGGAATTGCAGCATGCACGATATCGCAGACAGGGACGATAGTCACCTCCGAAGTATCGGAACTTCTCACGGCCAAAGCATGCCATGGGACATCGTCTCAAGACTGCTCCTCCCCAGACGACCAGCCAAGCGCAGGCGACGAGAAGCAGACCCGCGCCAAGAGGAGCTTCTGGCGACCTTGGAAAGCGGAGCAGAGTGCTATGCTCTGCATTCAAGCTTTAATGAGCGTTTGCAAATCTCTTTCCCAACTCCATACTGCCAACCTTTGGGCGAGGTGATGCTGCCGCTCGGATGCAAGTTGTGCTTGAGAACGGACGAAGCTCACGCGGCGGCTCGCTCAAGGTGGCAAACTGTCCTGTCGACGAGGTGTCGCGCCACTCGGCAACGTACGAAGAAGCAGAGTAGCAGCAGGCAGCAAGGTGCAGACTGGCACACATTGGCCAAACAATAGCATAGATCAGGCGTTGAGTCGCACGATTCCTGACATGGCACACCCCAGAAAGCACTTCCAGCCACTGCCCTCCGGATGTTTCATGAATCCAGCAATCGTTCGCACTATTGCCGAGCTTTCTCAAGATCAATGAGCTTGATTTCCATGTTCCAGCCTAGCAAGACCAAGACCTGGCATATGTTAAGGCTAACGTGGTTCTCAATTCGAACCCGGGGCGACATCTCGTCTTGACAGCACTCGGCACTGAGGCTGGGATCTGGAGGTGGATAGAGGCAGAGCATGGCAGAGCTCGGAGCGCTCCGGGCTCTCACATCTAGACCTAGACTATCCGACTATCCTAGACTCCTGTTCTTTCTGAACCTTCGTGGCGGTGGCGCAGGGTTAACAAGGAATTGTTCGGCATGTCCATCCTGTCCACTTTCCGCGTTCGCGGACACGGCGAACTCGGCGAACACATGTGTTTGCAGTATTTCGCGTGTGTCACGTGCCGCGCAAGCATCCATGCTTTGCGGTGGCCAGAGCATCCATTCCCGAACGACCGGCTCTGAGCTCTGAAGAGCTTCTCGCCGAAAGGCCTGTGGCCCCTGCTGCAGCAAACCTTTTGCAGCCCTTTCGCCAGCGGCAACCGACTGCCTGGTTGGACAGTTTTGGGTTCGAACGCGGCCGTGGCTCTAGCCTCACCGAATTCAGGCGGTTTTGTAGGAGTGCTTGTTATGGCCTCCGGCCCTCCGTGGGCTTTGTGCCCTCGGCTGAAGGCACGAATGTAACTGTGCAAAGTCGATGTCGTGAGAGTTGCACTTTAAGGCACGCTTGTGAATTCGCATAATTGTAACTCAAGCGTGTACCGTAGTGTCGGACCAGTTGCCCAGCGGAGCTGCTACTGTCCTTGCTGGGTGACACAAAAACAACTACTCCCACAACGACGGTACTCTTGCCGGTGCTACTACTACGACGAGTACTACTGCTACTGCTATTGTCAGTTTTTGCAGGCCAGGTCGTCTCCTGTGCCGGCGGCAATTGCGACCTGGCCACGGCTTATATCCCAGCAGATGCTTGGCCGGAAAAATCTTGCACACATGTACCGCGCTCATTGGGTGTTGGACCTGTGCAACCGAGGATCGAAGCAGCCACTGCCCCGCCGGCACTACCTGGAAGAACGACCTGGGTTGCCATGCTTGCCCTCTGGGCCGGTTTTCGGTGCCTCAGCTTCCTTCGGGGACAGCTTCACTGTTGAGTGAGTGCAATCATCGTGGCCCGCCGGTCGATGTCATGTCGCATGCTGTCCGCCTTGCCAGCATATCGAACGGGCCAAAGCAGTCAATCGGGCAGGGCAGTGTTGCATCTGAAGCATTTTCTGCACCTCACCCCTTTTTTTTCTGCTGAGGCCGGCGGCATTGATGAATGCGAGCCCTGCGGATTAGGATCTTTCAGCCGCTCGGGACGGCCTAGTCGCTGGACAGGTTCTATCGCTCCGGGTGTGCTTAATAACCAATGACCTGGTGACCCGAGTCGCCGGAATTTGTATGTAAGGCAACGCCAGTGGTCTGGCTGAGTGCTATGTGTGTCCTCCTGGCAGCGTCGGCAACTTGTCTCAAACAAAGACGGGCACAGGAACCTCAATTCAGGCTTGCCGATGAGCAACGAAGCAGTCACAAATTCGATTCTTGTCCAGTGTCGTCACTGGGCAACCCATGGTTCTTGCAGATCTCTGGGTCACGAATGTGTCAGATGGCGCGTCCCACCAAGCCCAACCTGGGCCAGTATATACACTTTTTCGTCGTGCGACACCCAAGTAGCTTCCCCGCCGCTCCGCAAAGACCCTCACTGCAAACATATCGCCGTGAAGCGTCTCAATTGAATTTGTGGCTTTGCGTGAAGTGCGCAGTTATGACCCGTCTTGCGGACGAGCTTGGCCTGATTCTGCTGCGCAGGTGGTTCATGGCCGCGCATTCAATCTCTCAAGTTCTTAGTGGCAGTCTTAGTAGTGGTAAGGGAAGGTAGCATTCATCGATGGTCCTCCCGTCTTTGAACCCTGTCTTGCTACTTGCTTGTGTTTGTTGCGTTGTGTTACACAACTGGTTGTGCGTGGACCGTCGAGTGATCATCCCAGCATCTGCGCAGCAGCTTCATTGCGCTTGCGACTGCACTGCCGTGCAATCTAGCCGAATCTGGTCTGTGATTTGGTTCTTGATGGGCGTTCTTTGTGGGGATATGCTGTACCATGGCTACTTGCTTAGATCACACCGTGTTGCCAGCTTTGCAGCGGAGAACAAGTTCATCCTGATCCGGTACCCCGGGAAAGGAAATGCCACGAACGCTTCGTGGTACTGAGGCCAACTCCGAGCAGCTGTCCTCGAACCTATGGGCGGTGCGTTACCGCCACACCGGATGCGTACAGTGAGCCTCTGGCTCTACCTAACAGCAATGGGCTGGCTCGGTGCTGCCCCCGGTTCTCATGAGATTGCCCACTGGAGCAGGGCAGGGCGAGCTGGATGCAATGCAACTTGAGATTGATCGGACCGGTGCTGGACCTTTGGTTGCTGCTCCGCCGACCGGGTCTTTGGCTGCTGCGGCCTATGGCTGGTTCTGCGTGGGCGATTGCTGTAGCTGAGGGGAATCGTGCCAAGGGCAGCTTAGCTAACGGAACGTACACAGGTCGCTGCTGGACACCAGGCAGGCTCTACGGGAATTGGCTTGACTGACGGCTCCGTCCTGTTTGTCGAGAACATGGCCAACCATGATCTTGGTCATTACACGAGTTGGGGTCAAAACTATCGTTTATGTGCGCCAGAACCGCCGAGATCGCTAGAACGATAGGGCTACTTGATATGATAGGACAGGCTCCTGAAGCATGTGTCAGCCAGGACCCTGACCGCCAAACGAGGCATTTCCAGTGCTGAAGTTATACTACAACCCAACGCAATCCAGCCAGGACCCTAAGTGATGCATTTCCAGTACAAGAAACAACCCGGCACAATCCAGCTCGGACCCTAAACTAGGCATTTCCAGGACTATAATTGTACTACACCCAGCACAATCCAGCCAGGACCTTGTACGACATTGTCTACAGATGGTCCTTGCAAGTGCGCTAGGCGAAAAGCTCGGAAAACGATAGGGGACGCGCTATTTCTAAAACACAAGCAGCATCAAACAAGTAATGTTGATGCCGACTCGCATCTCTTGGGGCTGGTGGTCGTCCTGGCTATGCTGCAGGTTTTGTAGAACCGACAACACCCCTTGCGATGTTGGGCGCCTTTCGGTCTTGCATAATATGGGGCTGTTCGGGCTGACGAGGCTCTCTTGCCTGTTCTCCAGTTCGGATGATTTCCTTGCGGTGCTATCTATTTCGCTTGAGGCGTTATCTACGGCATGGCTTTTCATGGGGCTGCGTGCTGTGCTTTCAGCTGGGCTGGTGTGGAAAAATCCCAAAGCCATCTGACTGACGCGTGAAGCCGCAATCCTCAGATCTGACACCTATGTAAACCCTTCATCCAAGCCTGGAGATGACCAATGGGACAAGCATGGACTGGCTAAGCTGGGCATTCGTGGTGAAGTTTGTCGACGTCGGAGACATCCCACCATGCTTTGCTGCCACGATCAATCCGCGAACATCCACGACCAAAGCTTGCCCAAACCATTTTTTAAATATTTTGGGGTTTCAAATTGCGTATAGTCTCTAGACTATTCTGCATGGGAACTTGCTCCGGAATGTCGCAAGCAATCCATGCCAAACTGCCTCCCACCCACATAACCCAATAGTACTGCAGTTCGGAGCCGACTATGGAAGCATACACTGGCACACACGCACACACATAGGTATCCATCGCGCAGCCACTCATCTGTTGTTTATCAAGCCATGCATGAAGCTTTCGGGATTCCGGAACCAATCAGGACTCAAGGCTCACCAGTCTAATCTGGACACCACAGCGACGGACCCATGAATTCCTCATGAGGGCCACCAGCTGTCACGAAGACCCAGGTGCACCCTCCCCTTTAAATTTGCAGGTACGTTTCCACGCCCTGTCACTGCTAGTATTCGTTGGCTGAGGCACCAGTGACGGCCTGCTCCGAAAATCGAATCCAGAATTCAGGCTGTTTGGTTTGAGGGTTCTGAGGATTCACTCTTAGCAACAAAGGTCCGCGCACACAGGATGCCTTGATTGCAAAGCACACCCGTGCTGTCCACACTTAGGCAGGCACACGTAGCTCCAGCTGAAAGCTGCCTTTGGGGCTGACACGGGCCTGTATGGCTGCAGTGCCGAAAGAATGGAAAGGAAAGCAACGAAACCGATCAAACTGCAAACGCTGTCCTGGCAGAAGGGTGGGCGACTGGCTGTGAAGACGTAAAACGGTAGCACCAAACTATACAGGTTGTAGGTTGCGCTTGGCGCATTGCAGTACTTCGCACCCGCGAAAACAAAAGGGATATCGGAAAACACAAAAAGGACTACGAAACATTAGCGGTGGCCCACGTTGGGCACTTCAAACCTTGTTCTCGTCGAGGACGAATAGGCAGGATAAATGTATATTGGAGGAGTCCGCTTACGATTCGCAGGTCTTGCAAGCAGCCGCAGCCCCGAAGCGCAAATCCTCTTAGGGTCAAGCCTTTGCAGGGTCTTACCAAGCTGCCGCAGCCCCGCAGTGCTTGACGACCGACCCAGGGCGTTTGAAAACTTCATAGCATGCCGAAAACAGATACCTGATCCTTGGCACAGGGGCGGCTAGCTGCGGCCAGCTAATCTTGGCACAGGGGCCGATTTCACTACAAAGGTCTGGATTCATCGGAGCAACTCTGAAATCGTGGTCTGCGGATGGTAAAGCCGGTGG